TCTAAACTAACCAATTGATAAAATTATAGTAGAAAACACACAATTAAAATCTTTATCTTTATATTATACATATAAAAGGAAAACCTGGGGTATTGAGGTAGCACCATGAGGATTGAGTATTTTCAAATGGTGAATTGTGGTTGAGTTTTAGTTGTCCCATATTGGTGAAGAGTTGAAAGATTTGAACAAAGTGAAACATATAAGAAAGATGAATTGGATGTCTTTGTGTCAAATCATGGGGTTTGTCTCATAAGGTTGTCTTATTTTGGATGACCCTCTTTGAAATCTATAATCATGGTTGGGATCTAAACCAACCATATGATAAAAATATTTATCTTTATCCTTATATATATAAAAGGAAAACCTTGGGGTATTGAGGTGGCACCATGAGAATTGAGTATTCTCAAATGATGAATTGTAATTGAGTTTTAATTGTCCCACATTGGTGAAGAGTTAAAAGATTTGATCAGAGGGAAGTGCAAAAGAAATGCAGATTGGATGCCTTTGTGTCAAATAATGGGGTTTGCATCATAGGGTTGTTTATTTTTTAGGACCCTCTTTGAAATTTACAACCATAGTTGGAATCAAAACCAACCAAATGGTAAAAATTATAGTGCACATATTAAAGTGAAACCAAGGATGATGACATGAGGTTTGGTTGCTCCTCAAATCTGAAACAAAGTTTACTTTCATCATCTCACATTGATAGAAAGATGATAGTTTGAAAGAAGATGATAGATATATAAAAAACGTGATGAAGCTTTCAAACTTATAACAATGGTCGAAATCAAAACCAACCAGTTGGTAAAATTTTTGTACAAAACAAATGCAAATGATACATTTTTTTTCTTAACAAGAGTTGTGATTATTATAGTACTTATAATAATAAATGTAGTTTAAGTATCTAATATATCACTTATATATATATAATATATATATATATATATATATATATATAAAATAAAAATGTTGACTCAATGACGTGCTTTCATCTGATGTTAGTATTTTCCAAATCGTGATTTACAGTGTTGGATGGGGCGTTATAAATATAAATACAATCCAGAGAACACATCACACTTCCGCTCGAATCGAGACTTTACATTTTTTCTTAAATTGAGTTTTGATCATCATGCAACGAGTGGTGTAGAATACTAGTAAAATATATTTGAAGACATCATAAAGATTTGAAAAAATATATCGATATTAATATCAAACTAATTATTTAAAAGTTCTCATTTTTTTGTACAATTTATTTAATTCAATTTTTTATTATAATTTAATTTAGGTAAAATAGTGAAGTAATTTATTTTTGGCTTAACAATAAATTTTTTATAAAGATAATGATTATGTTAGAACACAATAATTATCCTAATTATATTTTAGATATTTTATATTTAAAATGAGATATTTATCCTATATTTAATTATGTTTATCTGCTGTTAGTTATACGAATTCAAAAATGGAGTTTTACGTAATATGTATTAATACACAATATATACTTCATGTATAAGGAATGATTTTTTAAAGTTTTTGTCAAATACTTTATAATATAGTATAAATATTCTTTAGTTCATATTTTCGTGCTTATTTTACCTCTACAAAGATCTCACCTCTATATACCTAGCGGTATGATCAGTTAAACTGCCAAATTAATATATTCATATAACTTACTCAGACTATCAAATTGTGCAATTCGACAATTTTCACTAAACTGAACCTGCGAATTGATAAAACAGTAAAAAAAAAAATACCATAGGAGCGGTTGGTGCTCGATCACAATGGGTCTAATCCAAATATGGATATTAACGCATTTGATTAAAGAGTTCGGGCCCAAAATAGATTACGGTCTAAGGTGAACTAGAATGATACTTGTGCAATGCATCGATATATATTTCGATTTTAATGTTTCGTTTTATTCTTTGACTTTATCGATGTTATAATATGGTTTTATGTAGTTTTGAGAAAAATATAATATTGAAGACTTCATAAAAATTTAAAAATAAAATATAAAAGCTCTAGTTTTTTTTTGTGTAATTTCTTTAATTCAATTTTTTTTATAATTTAATTTAAGTTTAATAACAAAGTAATTTATTTTTGGTTTAATAATATAATCTTTCTATAAATATAATAATTAAGTATTATGTTAGAACTCAATGATTATCTTAATTATATTTTAGATTTTTTATATTTAAAATAAAAAGTTTATCTTGTATTTGATTATTTTTATCTGCATTTAGTTAAATGAATTCAAAATGGAGTTTTAATAAGTTGTATTTATGCAGAATTTACTTGTATTTTGAATTTTAAGTAATATGCATCAATTAAAAGTACTTCAATCATAAAAAAAATTGATTTTTTAGAGTTTTTGTCAAATATTTTATAATATAGTATAGATAATTAAAGTATTTTTTATAAATAAAATAAATGTATATATCATTATTTATATGATTATTGTACCTTTTTTTCAAACCATTTAATTAGTATAAATCATATAAACCAATTTCACATGTATATTTAATTTAATGATATTTACCCCATTTTTATAGATAGAAGTGTATTTAATAATATATAAAAGTGCAATTAGTTTATTCTTTTGAAAAATAACTAGAATAATACTCGCACAATGCAACGAGATATATCTCGATTTTAATGTTTCGTTTTATTTTTTTGGTCTGTATCAATTTTATAATATGGATTTATGTGGTTTTGACCAAACAATAATGTTTTTTTAAAATATAAATTTGAAGATATTGTAAAGATTAAAAAAATATAAAAGTTCTCATTTTTTGTGTAAATTTTTTAATTTAATTTTTTTATTATAATCTAATTTAGGTTTAATGACGAAGTAATTTGTTTTTGGTTTAATAGTATAATTTTTATAAAGATAGTAATTAAGAATTATGATATCTATATTATATTATAAAGTATTTGACAAAAATTCTTAAAAACTATTTTTTATGCATGAAGTACTGTATATTGATGCATATTACGTAAAATTCAAGATTACAAGTAATTTATGTATAAGTACAACTTTAAATTCGTGTAACTAACTGCGGATTAACATAATCAAATAGATGATAAACATCTCATTTTAAAATATAAAAAATCTAAAATATAATTAAGATAATCATAGAATTCTAACAAAATAATTAATTATTATCTTTATAAAAAATTGTATAATTAAATCAAATATAAATTACTCATTATTGAACCTAAATTAAATTATAATAAAAAAATTTGAATTATAAATTACACAAAAAATAGGAAGTTTAAATAGTTAATTTAATACTAATATCAATATATTTTTGTCAAAATTTTATGATATCTTCAAATTTATAATTTATTCAAAAATAAAAACATAAGACTATGCTATAAAATCGACTGAGATAAAGAATAAAATGAAATATTAAAATCAAGATGTATCTTGCTGCATTGCGCGAATACTCTTCTAGTAATGTTTTTTCAAAATCACATAAGACTATGCTATAAAATCGACTGAGATAAAGAATAAAATGAAATATTAAAATCAAGATGTATCTCGCTGCATTGCGCGAATACTCTTCTAGTACCTCAATAATTATCCTAACTATATTTTAGATATATTTAAAATGAGAGTTTTATCTTGTATTTGATTATTTTTATCTATAGCTGTTAGTTACACGAATTCAAATGTGGATCTTAATAAGTTGTATTTATTCACAATTTACTTGTAGTCTTGAATTTTAAGTAATATACATCAATAAGCAGTACTTCATATATAAAAGATAATTTTTAAGAGTTTTTATTAAATGTTTTAGGGGTGTACAAAAAACCGTCAACCCACGAAATCCGCCCAACCCAACCTGCTAACAACCCAATTAAACCCAACCCGTCTACCCGCCAAACCGCCCACCCGCCAAACTGCTAACCCGCCAATTAGGAGGGTTGAAATTGGGTTGAGCCTAGCTCAACCAGCCCAACCCGTCAACCCGCCGTTAATATATAATTTTTATAAAATTATATATATATATATATATATATATATGTGTGTGTGTGTGTGTGTTTATTATGTATATATATTAATAATGTATAAATTTTATATAMTTYTTATTGATATTATATTTTGTTTCATTTTAACTAAACGTATAGGTTACCAAAAGAGATTCACGATCAAAGAATGATGACAAATAATCTAATTAATAAGGAAAATTATTGATTTTTTTTGCAGCAACAACAAATTGATATGTTGGAAAATATGAATGATATTGATARATATTTGATGGACGAATCCATCAATCTATGACGCTTTAAAAGAGTTACATTAGAAAAATGTTTTATTAAAAAGAGTTTCAATATGTTTATAGGATGGTTTTGGACGTCTTAACAAATTCTATGATGCTTTTAAAATAAAGTGTCGTATTAGTTATTTTATACAACATGACTTGAAAAAATGTCATATGAGCATAGGTGTCCTATAAATAGATGAGTTTACAGGACACTTCTCAAAATGTTTCTATAAAATGACTAATACGACATTTTATTTAAAGATCATTCTAAAACACTTGTTGAAACGTCCAAAAACGTCCTATAAACCTATTGTAACATTTTTAGATAGAACGTTTTATAGTATGGTCTATAAACTTAAGTTTTATGCATTATTTCATTCGTCAAATTATGTAACTACTAACCCGTCAACCCAACACAACCCAACCCAACACAACCCAACTCAACCCAACTCAACCCAACACAACCCAACTCAACCCAACCTAACCCGCCTCAACCCGCAAGGGTTGGATTGGGTTGGGTTAAGATTTTCCAAACCACCATAATTGGATTGGATTGTAAAATTGTTGTAAACCGTCCAACCCAATTCACGTTGACCCGTAAAATGTTTTATAATAGTATAGATAAATGTAAATAAACAATGAACAGTGAAAATTGAAAAAGAAATAGAATATATCACGAAAATCCTTTCCATGTTTACTGTCAAGGAGATATAGAAGGAATCAGAACGCGATCAACAAATGGTTTCCATAAAACAGAAAAGAGAGAGACTCTTTGGGGGAAAACTTTATAAACCCTAGCGCGAAATCTATAAATTGATATCTGAAATTCGAACATTAGTCATTAGATGCAGAGAAAATCGATGGCAAGTAGAAGTAGAGGCGACGGAAATTACAGAAACCCGTGTCTGACTATGCATCAGCCATGGGCTTCTCTGCTTGTTTATGGTATCAAGCGTATCGAAGGAAGATCTTGGCCTTCTCCAGTTACAGGTACTTTCAAAATCACTAGAAAAAAAGCATCTCTTTTTTTAAATTATAGAAGAAACCAATACAATTTGGTCAATTGATCTGGATTTTGTTCCTATTTGTTGTTGTTTTGGTAATTTTTTTGAAAGTTAAATGCGCAATTCGGATGGAGAAATTAGTGGTGTTGATGTTAAGATAGGGTTTTTAATGCTCCAACGTATAATTCCTCCTCCTTTTGGGGAAAAGAAGAGAGAGTTTTTGGAATCTCTTGTTCGAACTAGTTGATTTTCAGATTCATATTGTTGCTGTGGATGCTAATTCTTTTCTAGAAAGTTCTTAATCACATTGGATTTTGTTACAAGTACTGCAAATTAAAAGTTGATGATGAATAGGTAACAGTTTCCATGTAAATTAATCATTTGGAAAGTATTATGTCTTGAGATTTGAATTATGGGTTACTAGTGTTGATTACAGATTTAGTAGGTTTAACTGATGTTAGCCATAAAACCATGATGGTCAAGGTGCGTTCTACAAGGCAAGTTTGAACCAATAAAGAATACCTTTATTTTACGTAAACATGAGAACAGTCTTTTACTATAGTCAATCACATGTGATACTAAATGAGAGACTCACGCGGCACACCACCAGGTCCCCTCACGTGTATCATTACATGTTGTAAAGGTCTTCTCATGTATTTGTAAAATAAATGTGTTTTCGTTTGAACCTCCACCTATATGTATTTATGATAAGGATTAAGCAATAGCAACAAGGTCAGAATAAGAGATGAACATTGGCCAATTGCTAGCCTGGATCCTGAATTAAGTGGTTTGTTTATACAGAAAAGAGGCTTAGGCAAGGCTCCTGAGATTTGAAGAAACCTTTCCATTTATTTTGCAAAAAGACTGGTTTTACGACTCAAATTATGGATATACTTGAGAAAATTCTTCAAGATTATATATGATGTACCTAAAAAGTTTGATTAATCCTTGCTAATGAGTTTGTTGAACTCTTTGATAATTTGCTTCATTTATATGCAACCAAACAAACTATCTTTTTCGCCATCTCCTTTTTCCTTATCATGGCTAACCATGGGTTTCTGCTAATCATCTTCTCCTTTTTGTTTGTGTAAACTTTTTGAAGGTCGTCTTTGGATTCATGCTGCTGGTAAGATCCCAGAACATGAAACAATCAAAGCGATGGAGGACTTCTACAGACAATTATATGCATTGGATGGAGTTACGGATATCAAGTTCCCAGAACATTACCCTGTTTCAAGACTTTTAGGTCATAATTTGATCATTCTTTTATATGTTCTGCGCCTTTCTCCCAAATTCCCAATATACTAGCTCCAAAAAGGCCGGCTTTATGATCAAACTGCATCATGGATTATTTGCTGCCAAATGTAGTTGATTATATATTTGTATCTTTTGTGCATTTGATTTTTTTGGTGAGTTAGCAACAACTGAAAATTGTGTTCTTGATACAGGTTGTGTTGAAGTAGTTGGATGTGTCACATCTGAAGAGCTGGTATCGTGGGAGGATGTTCCTCAAGGGGTACGCTTCCAAACCTCTACTCCCTACCAGAATGTGCTTGATTTAATTATACAAGCGCTGTTTAATTAATTCCATGTTCCCCGTACAGGTAAGGCTGGAAGGGCAAACACCTTTTTGTTGGCTCTGTGAACGACCACAGGTTTGCTTTTTGCACGCTTATTTCCTATTTTTGGTTTTCATTGCAAAAGAAAATGTCATAAAGTTCTTTAAACTCCCTTCTTTAACATCACTTTCGGTTCATAACCAAAAAATTATGCAGAAATTGCTTGTGCCATTCGAAATGCGTGGATATCAAGGGGTCTATAATTTGGAAAAAAGGGTAAACATGAAATTCTACCATTACGAGCCTTAAAAACTTAATTTTATTTACTGGGTTTTATCGTTTTCCATTTTGAAGTCTAATTTTTATCATTTCTGGATAGATTCTTGAGGGAGCAGTTAGAGGTCTTTGTCCAGTTGAAGCCCGATCACCGGTTAAGTTTCCACTGCCATACCCTCGAAAGCCATTGTCTTTGAAGCCAGGGTCAGTGTCTCATGGGCTTAAGAATGGGTCGAACACATCTAAAACGAACGAGGGTACATCACCAACCCTATCAGCCGCCATAGCCGGTGCAAGAGCCGCTGCGACTCAGTTCTCGAAGAAGAGCAATGGCCCACCACGTACAGCAGGATTCCAAGGCCAAGGATCAAGAACATGGAGCATGAGTAAGGAAGGTGTCCAGAGACTAGATATGAAATATGATCAACAACGCTGGTGAGTTTCTAGTGGAACATATTAGGCTATTTGGTGTGTGTGTTTCTAGTTCATTAGTTTGAGTCCCTCCAAAAGCCGCTAGATTTTACTAGGAGTATGTAAGTTGATCTGAATATCCTTTTATGTAAACATATGTATATGTTCAACTGTGAGTAGTGGTTTTGATTTATGTGAAGAAATTTTAGATCTTGTTTTGTGGTTTATTTATTTAATGTGGAAGGAAGACACATGGGAAAATTGTGCTTAATAATTGACTACATTTTTGTATGAATCAAAAATCAGTTTGTGAAGGTTAAATTGTACATTGTAATGTGTACATTCAGCATTAATTTTTATACCGATTACTACTAAAGATATTGTTATAGAATTTGATTTTAATCTTATGTTTAGTTTGAAGGATTTTCTGTATTTAAAATCCCAAAAACATATGATTTTGAAATTCCATAGGATAATGGATATTTCATGGGAATATTTCGGACTTTATACGTAACATTGTTAAAAAAACATTGGTTTTTAATAATCAATTTATAAAAAAATGATTAATTATGTTTATAATTTGCTTGTATAAATTATTTATAAAAAATAAAATTTTATTCAATTCTAAATCTTATAAATCAACACATCAAATATTCAAAGGTCATGAAAAAGCCATGTTAATAGTTTTAGGGGCTGTTTACTAATCTCTTACCACCTCTTACCCGTTAAGAGATGCTTACCCGGGTAAGAGGTAAAAGTGTTTACCTAACAACAAAATCAACAATCAGATTTTCGACCTCTGACCGTCCTCTTACTGGCTCAGCAAAAAAAATGAATCTTACCATGGTAAGAGGTATGTATTCCTAATCTACACTCTTCATCTAAAACCCTAAATAGATGCATCTTTCTTCATACAAACAGGTGGGTCATTTGATTCAAGGTGGGGAGGCTTATGTCCGGTTCAAGGTGTTGAAGGGTGACGGGAGGGCGGCGACGGGAGGGAGGCGACGGGAGGGCGGCGACGGGAGGGCGGCGACGGTGGCCGGTCTGGAGGTGGGAGAGAAAATAAGGGAAGTTTGTAGAGAGAAATAGGGTTTTGAGGTTTTTGAGTGAAAATACATATAAATTTGTATAATTGGGCTTAAATGTATCTGGGCTTGGGCCAGTTTTTTTAAATTTATTTAATTATAATTAGGTTTAAATAATACAATAATTTTTAATTAATATTTATTCCAAAAAAAAGGATATAATGGTCTTTTTTTACCCAATCAGCACTTAACACAAAATGTTTGGTAAACAAGAAAATACAATTTGCACTTAATCCAGTTAGACCTCTTATCACAGTCAGACCTCTTACCCGAATCAGCACTTAACCAAAAAAATTGGTAAACGACCCCTTAGTAATACCGTCTCTAATTTAACATTAAAAATACTAAAACCGTAAAAAAAAAGAGTGTTTTTATTTTGATCCAACACTAAAACTCTATAAAAATAAAGGTAAAAAATGTTGTGCTCTTTATTCGGAGGTCAATAAAGTAAATAATATATATTGATTAAAAGTTTTTATATATATTGATTAAAAGTTTAATATGTTAAGATGTTTATTATTATTATTATTATTATTATTATTATTATTATTATTAAACTAGAATGGTACTTGCACAATGCAGCGAGATCTATATTTTAATATTTAGTTTTTATTCTGTCTCTATCGATATAATACGATTTTATGTAGTTTTGAGAAAATGATAATGTTTTTATTTTGAATGAAATATAATTTTGAAGATAGAATAAAAATTTGAAAAAAATAAATCGATATTAATATCAAATTAATTATTTAACAGTTTTCATTTTTTTGGTGTAACTTCTTTAATTCAATTTTTTATTATAAGTTAACTTAGATTTAATAACGAAGTAATTTATTTTTTGTTTAATGGTATATTTTTTTATAAAGATAACAATTAAACATTTTGTTAGAACACTGATCATCTTAATTATATTTTAAATATTCTATATCTAAAATGTTTATTTTATATTTGATTATGTTTATCTACGGTTAGTTACACGAATTTAAAAATGGAGCTTTAATAAGTTGTACTTATGCAAAATTACTTGTAATCTTGAATTTTAAGTAATATGCATCAATAAACAGTATTTAATGCATAAAAAATGGTTTTTAAAAATCTTTATCAAATCTTCTATAATATAGTATAGATATGGTTTTTAGTGTTTTTTTAATATGTTATTAGAGTTGATTTTTTTATTGTTCAATCGATCCATATTTTTTATATTTTATAATATTATTTTTTGAATGGTTGGATTGAAGATACTTTGCAAAGGATTAGAGCATCTTCATATGCCAAGTCATCAAAAATATGGCAATCAAATATTTTCAAAATAGAAAAAGTAAAGATTTTATTCTTTATTTTGATCGAGTAATTTTTTATATTATTTATCGGAATAGAAAAAACAAAAGAAAACTTTTAATTTTGAGATTTCTATAAAATTTAATATAAGGAAAGAGAAATGATTTTTTAATTTTTTTCACCAGTAAAAAATAAAATTATTATCTATACTATATTATAATGCATTTGGCTAAAACTCTTAAAAACTCTT